TCTTTTTGGTACAGTGACTCTGTGTATTCCTGCCATCTTCTCTTGATGTTTCCTGCATCATTCAATATTTTGCCCATAGAATCTCTCAGTATTGCAACTCGAGGCTTAAATTTTTTCTTCAGTTCTTTCAGTTTGAGAAATGCCGAGCGTGTTCACAAATCTTAGAAAAATGGTTATATAATTGTTTTACCTTTTTAAAAATAATTGTGCTAAAGAATTTTAGAATCTTAATTTCTTTTCAGTGAAATGAATTGTTAATCAGAAAAATAAAGTTATTTTTATTATAGCAATAAGTACTTATTTTTTATATGCTTGGTCTTACATCTGTCTGTTAAATGAGTATAGTATGAACTATTACTTTTCTTCACCACATCCCAGATCCACACCTGTGTATATAGGAAAGTAAATCAGTAATCCTTCTAGTGTTCTTTTGTTTAAGGGATGCAGCTGAATCATACATATTTTTAAATAGCAGGTTTTGAATTTTTCTTATACAAATAGAACACAGCTTAAAACTCAGGTTGGTAAAGAATTGCTTCATTTGCTCTTTACAACCCCCTGTGTAAGTGTGAACAATGGAGCACTGAGATGTTAAATGATGAGTATCCAAAAAGCAAGAAACTGCAGCCTGGGACATTTTATCTCATGATAAATTTGCCCATAGAAGGGCAAATTCAAAATACTTATCTTGGAAGTTAGATTAAATATGAACCCTTTATTAGAAAGCAGTAGATATTAGTAATTGAGCCCACTTGACCAGATAAGCTTTAAGGGGAGATCAAAAGCTGAGTTCTTGTCTTATCATCAGAGAAACCTAATACTAATTTGAAAAATAGACATTCTCCATGTTCCTCTTTTCTGACTTCTCCCTCAGTCTATACTGATTCTCAGGAGTAAAAGGGGCATAGAGCCTCCACTCTATTCCAGGCCTTTTCCACTCTGAGACTTTTACTCGTAGTTGCTTGGCATGCATTTCCAATTACATAGAAATAGAGGTAACAGGGGATTATTTTTCAAAATATTGCAAAGTTGGTTGATTATGAGGTTACAGAACCTAGCACAGTACTTGTCATATAATGGAAGCTTATAAATAAATAACTGTTGCATAGTTGCATGGATGCACCAGTACCAAGGAACTATTGTTCATTCTGGTTGACTAACCAGAACAAAAGGAAGAAGTTTATTTTGTATTTTAAATACTTTGTTCTATAGAGTTCTATAAATAATAGGATTTAAGGATTAGTTAGCTATAGACAGTAGGGAAATTTATATGATTTTTATGGTATGTGATTTAGATGCAAGTGAGATATTACATAATTAGAATAAATAATTATATGGAGAATCTCAAACTTGAGAAAGAACATGCCTTAGTTATCTCATGCTACCATAATAGAAATATCTCAAATGGATGGCTTTAACAAATAGAAATTTATTTTCTCATAGTTAGGGGGCTAAAATTACAAATTCAGGTGCTGATTCTAGAGGTAGGCTTTCTCTCTCTCTGACCACTGGAGGAAAGTTACTGCCTCGTTGTGCTTCTATTCCTGGTGTAGCTTGGTATATCTCTTCCCCTACTTCTGCTTGCTAGCTTGCTTGTTTAATCTCTTTTATATCTCAGAAGAGATTGGAGATACATCCTACACTAATCCTGCCTCATTAACATTAAAAAAGACAACCTATTCCCAAATGGGATTATAGCCACAGGCATAAAGGCTTGGATTTAGAACACACATTTTGCGCATGTGGCACACATACACAGTACGGTATATAAAGCAAAATAAGAGTATGCAACCTTAGATGTGAAGAGACCCTATTTAGAGGGAATAGTGCAGTATATAAAGCAGGAAGTGTAACGTGATATTTCACTTAAACGATTTAGTCAGAGAGGGAAGGACCATGTGGAGAAATGAATTTTTGTATTTTAAAAATTACTTCTCTATAGAGAAGAGCAAAAAGGAAAAATATTTAAATTGTATAGCATTCAAGTAAAACATAAGAGATTTCTTTGGAATGTGTATTTCCTTCTTCGGAAACATTGGAGAGGTATTTGTCAATGTGGCACATTCCTGCATTAAAAAAAAGACCAGATTCATTCATCAAATTCCACCTATATGTGCCAGGCACTCACTATTTCAGGCATTTAGAAAGCATTGGTGAACAAAGACTACCTTCATACACCAATTCAGCTGAGGAGCAAATGAGAAGACAGAGACAATTGTACATTTGTAGTATACATTCTAAGGTAACTACTTCATTGAGTAACAGTAATGGGTAAGATAATATTTGTAGCATTTGGGGTCCCTTTGAGAAGCATGAAATATTTTTTTTCTTTTTTTTTTTTTAATATTTTTATTCTTATGTTGTGATTTCTTCAAAATATTTTTTTTCCACTGTGGCGTAAGAAAGCCACACACTTGAGGGAGGTAGAATACAATTTGTGAAAATACTGTCTCTTTCCATAGGTCTGACTTAGGCCAGGATGATCCTGTTCAGGATCATTTACTATTTAAGAAGACTCTCCTGCCAGTCTGGAAGATGATTGCCAGTCACAGGTGGGTGTCCAAAGTGGTGATGGGACTGTGTTCAGAACTGAAGCAGTGACATATATTAGGGATTAAGCATGAAAGGAGATAAGTTCATCCCCTCACATGAGCCATAGTTGGGAAGCAAGTCCTATATCTAAGCTTATTCATAAATACTCCCAGCTGTTTTCATAGGTCTGTGTAAGAAATTGTTGTTGTGTTATTTGAGTTGCCTCTAGAAATGGTTCCTATTACATGATTAAATTCAATTTTAAAATAGATTCCTCCTTCCAATATGGTGGAGTCTCCTTTTCCGCAGACATAGGCCCTTAGAGGCCTTGAGCAAATTTCTGAGCACAAAATCAGTATATTAGAATAGTAGTTAAATATTTTATAGTTATTATTTTTAAATTCTTTTTTGTTCAGCAAGTGGAAACTAATAGATTTCTTCCTTAATCGTACTCATAGTTTACATATCCCTAAGGAAAGTCTAACAAGAAGTGAACCACACTCTAAGTACTGTCTTCTAGTTCATAGCCACTCTTTATATTCAGAGTGACTTGCCAGAGTTTTCCTCATCCTCTCTGAGTTTTTTGGTTACCAGGTTCAGCAGTCCATTTCTGAAGCCTGTGTCAGATAGGCAGGCCCCAGGATACAAGGATGTGGTAAAAAGGTCAGTGGAAAAGGGGTCAAGAAAGGTTGGTCGCTTTTATATCTGGCTTTTCATTATTTATTTATTTACTTTACTTACTTTGTTGTTTTTGAGAATATATATAGGAAAAACATATACCAATTCAAGTTTCCACATTACAGTTCAGTAACATTGATTACATTCTTCAAGGTGTACAGCCGTTCTGACCAGTTTTCTGAGTTGTTACTCCCCCAATAACAATAATTCCCTGTCCCCTAAGATTCCTATCTAATCTTTTGAGTTGCCATTATCAGTTTGAGCTCATATAGGTAGATCTTAAAAGAACATAATGCTAGAGGTAGACATTCCTTACTAGTTAAGTTAAACTATTGTTTGGTATGTTTTTTTTTTTTTTTCCCCCAGGGGATGTTTTTGGTTTAGAGTTTAAAGATTATCTCAGGGCAATAGATTCAGGGGTTCAACCAGCCTCCATGGCTCCAGAAAGTCTGGAGTCCATGAAAATTTGAAATTTCGTTCTTCATTTTCCCTCTTTTGATCAGGGTTCTTCAGTAGAGTCTTTGATCAAGGCAATCAGTATTGGTAGCCAGGCACCATCCAGTTCTAGTTTCATGGCAGGTGTTCCTGGAGGCAGTTAGCTGCACATTCCATTTCTTTCTCTTATTCCTGATTCTCCTTGTTCCTCCCTTGCTCCAGGTGAATAGAGACAACTTGCTGTGCCTTGGATGGTACCTTTTCATTCTTTACTTTTCATCTATTAGATTATTTATTTACTTCATACACATTATTTACAAACTCAAGATACATTTGACAGCTAAAAATAGAAAATTATGGCTAGCTCAGTCTTTTCATATGAGAAGGAATGAAGGAGACAAAAAGATACTATAGTTTGTTTTTCCCTGGTATTTTTAAGTAATATGATCCATTTACATTATAATCTTACATTACCTTTTGATAGATTTTGACACTGTTCTTTAGGAACAAAACTTGAAAAGGAAAGCTGTATGACCAGGCAGTTATATAAGTATTCTAAGACAGATATACTAATCCAAACTGATATTATAACCGTTGGTTGATTACAGTATTTTGGATTTTTATAGCATAGTGTATTTAAAGTACTGTCGTAAACTGAAGTGTTAATGTAGAAGATTAGGAAGGGACCTTTGGACACAAACACTTTCATTTTAAATATAAAGAAACTAAAGCTTAGAAGTGGTCATGACTTGCAATTAATTGCAGAGCTGGAACTAAATTCCAAACTCTTACCTCCCAGTTTAGTCCTCTTTTTACACTGGTATGTCTTCTCTTATACATTCTTTATGCCACATTGAGTATTAATTTATCTTACTATTCATCTGATCTTCATTCTTTTCACTCCCATAAAAGGAGGAATAAAGTTCTTAGCTTTGATTTATATAATAATAAAAGTAGATTAATTACCTAGCATAAGACTGCACGTTGTAAACAGTCAGTCAATAACAACTATGTAACAAACTGACCATGAAACTCTTTATAGGTTTGGTACCTGAGGCCAACACCCTTACTATGATGTTATTGGTGCGGGCCATCTAGTGGATTCTGACTCATAGCGACCATATATGACAGAGTAGAACTGCTGCATAGGGTTTCCTAGGCTGTAGTCTTTATAGGAGCCACTGGGTAGGTTTGAACCACTGACCTTCTGGTTAGTAGCCATGTTGTGCCACTAGGGCTCCATCTTACTATGATATACTCACTGCTATCAAGTTGATTCTGACTCTTAGTGACCCCCTCTGGGTTTCCAAGGCAGTAAATCTTTATGGAAGTACATTGCCCAGGCTTCCTTCCGCGAAGTGGCTGATGGGTTTGAACTGCCAGGCTTCTGGTTAGCAGTCAGATTCCTTAGGCACTATGCACCAGAGCTCCTTTCCTCCTATGATAGTAGAGAGTCTGGGTCTGTGTGAGCTCTGGAGTCAGGCTGCCTTTGATTGAGAACCCAGGCAGTGTGACTTTGGATAAGTACTTAACATCTTGAGATCTCGGTTTCATCTGTCAAGTGTAGATAATACTTACCTTAGAAGCTTATTTAGAAGATTGAATTAATATATAAAGTGCCTAGCACAGTGCATGATCTATTGTAAGCAGTCAGATGTTAACTGGTGGTGTTATTTTATTGTCAGGTGGGTTTGTTATTTTTAGTAGCGTTTTCATTAGGAACTGATTAGTTATGCAAGAGAGCATGCTAGGCCCCACATATTCCACATGAATATTTGATTTCTTCTGGCCCCCTGCAGACCCATGGACTTAACTAGCTTGAAGAGGAATCTGTCTAAGGGACGGATTCGCACCATGGCCCAATTTCAGCGGGACGTGATGCTGATGTTCCAAAATGCTGTGATGTACAATGACTCTGACCATCATGTGTACCACATGGCTGTGGAGATGCAGCGAGAAGTCTTGGAACAGATTCAGGTACTGTATATAGAGAGCTGCAAGAAAAAGGAATGTAGCTTCTGGAATCTGATTTCAGAAAGTCTTTTGAGAATAAGGATGATACTGAGATGACCTTGCATTGCCAGAGTTTATCTTTAAGGGGTAATTCACAACTTTATTAAGTTGTGAAGTGAAGTAGTCCAGGAAGGCAGGCAGTAGTGAAGAGCTCTCAGGAGAGCTGACGGTAAACAAATAATGGGAGATTCTTTTTCCATAGCCTCAAGTCAGAGGGCTAGACATGCAAACCAGAGGCTAGAGTCACTGACCACTTTTTGTTTGCTACATCATTGATAATTAATGAACTTTCACACTGTACCATCTTTAGGAGATAAGACATAGTAGCCAGAAGAGGACAATATACTTTAATGAAAGAAGTATAATCAAATTTCTATGCAGAAGAAGAAATAAAATTGCATTCGAACCTCTGTAGCTTTTATGATTCATAGCTTGCTGTCTGTGCCTTGATCCTGTAGGTGCTGAATATTTGGTTAGATAAAAGAAGAGATTTAAGTAGTCTGGAATGAGAACCACTCAACCTGCTGGATGGAGGATGGAAAACCTGTTTTGTTAACCTGGAACTGCTGCCCTGACCTATTCTGAAGTTTGGACCTCTCCTTAAAACTCTGACCTAGAGAAGATTGCATTATTTGTTTACCATTACTCCATTTTCTTTTCTAATAAGATTAAGGCCTTTAACTCATCACCGAGGAGTCAAAGATGCCTGTAAACATGTGCAGAAAAGGAGAAAGCTGAGATTTCGGTTTATGCCACAATTATTGCCCACATCTTTGTTCCACAGGCTTAATTTGGGTTAACTAGATTAACCTTTTTATTACTGATATAAATAAATGTTACTTCACAAACCACAGACTGCTTTTTAATGATTAAAGAAACTGAGGGTAAAGAGAACAGTGTGATCTGATGAAATGAGGTATATTTTACATGGTTTTCTTACATATAATGTCTGGAATGGGATTGGGTGGGATGGGGGGATACCTTTGATTTGTTTTCTCGTTTGTAAAACCAAAAGAACCAAACCCATGGGGTAGATTCTGACTCACAGTGGCACTATAGGACAGAGTAGAACTGCCCTAATAGGGTTTCCTAGGCTGTAATCTTTAGGGAGTAGACTGCTACATCTTTCTAAAACCTCTGACTTTTAGTTTAGCAGCTGGGCTTTTAACCACTGCACCACCAGGGCTCTTCCTCATTTGTAAAATCGGGATAATTGAAACATCTTTCAATGGGTAAGAAGAAGAAATAAGATAAATTATTAAGAAAATATAAAAACAGCGGCAACAACAACAACCAAAAAAAAAAAAAGTGTAGTGCTCTAAACATTCACAAGGATAATTAAAATGTCTGTAGCTGGTTCCCCTTTCTTAGTTCCAAGAAACTAGCAGAAAGGAGTGAAGTGTACTGCTAAGATTGGTCCTCTGCAGCCACCGTCCCTGAGTTGAGGCTTCTGGTCTCCTAGTAACAAGTGGCACTGAGTTGTGTGATACGGTGTTGAGGTGAGTTGGTGCTGAAGCCCAGAGAGGATCTAAGTACCCTGTTCTGCCAGTCCTGGCCCTAAGCAAGCAATTGTCCCTGTGAGGCAGCGTCGCGTCACTAAAGCAACCAGCCACTAGAGGCTGCCCACCTGCCGCAGCTGGAGAACCTTTTGCCCACTCTTCCTGCCCTGCGCCCCCCCCCCCCCCCCCGCATTAGTCTCAGGCCTCTGGCAGCCCATTGGTCTTTGGTTCTGGGAGCCCTCGGTCTTGCTTTAGGTAAATGCACTTAGGAAAACCGAAAGCACGACCTGAATGCAGAGTAGAGAGAGATCTTATCACTGAGACTATGCTTAGAAAAATATATGACAGTTTCTAACTTTTTAAATTAAAATCAAGCACCTAATATTGCTATTCTTAATCACAATTATATTAAACTTGGGGTGTTGGGGGGGGTACTGTCATTGCAGTTGATACCTGTCAAGAAACTGTCAGTAAATTGTACTCTGAAAAGCCAGGATGGACCTATTAATGCCCCTACCTCAAATATATGTAGAAAAAACTCTGGCCATTATCAAACCAGATATTATTGACAAAGAGGAGGAGATACGAGATATTATTCTCAGATCTGGATTCACCATTGTTCAGGTAACTTCTGGGCATAATGATCATATTTTTTTTCTCTTTTTTGGTCCTTTTTTTGATGTAATGGTACTAATCCATTTTGATCCTTAGTATTTAACATTAAATTTAGGCTTAACCTTGCAGTTATAAAAGTAATATGTGATAGTTGTAAAAAAAAATTTCATGCTTCGAAAGATACAAAATGGGAAAAAAAGTTCTTTCTCTTTTTCTTTCATCACAAGTCCCAGTCTCCAGAGGCAACCATTGTTAACAGTTTCTGTTCTTCCAGGAGTTACCTATGCACTAACTAACATTTCCCCCTTGGAATAGAATAATCTTTCTCTCTTGACTCTCCCCTCCCCTTTAAAAAGTCCCACAGCATTCCAGATATTACATCTGAATCTATCTCATTCTTCCTAACTTCTGTGTAAATAGTCCCTCGTGTGGATGAACCATAATTTATTTACTTTACAAAAGTCCTCTATTGATGGTCTTTTAGGTTGTTGGTATTTTTTCAGTTGGCATTTTCCATTTTAAGCATTTAAGGTTTTAAGCCTTATATTTGTTCTGCAGTTGGTAAACACTGTAACTCTACAGGCTTGAAAATGAATATGTAAAATGTATTGTTATCAAATAGAATTTTTAAATTTTTAATCTTTTTTATACTATTCTTATTTAAATTTCTAGTTTTTTTATTCTCTTACAGTGTCTTCATACAGTGTCATGTTGCCTATTTAGTCAGTGTTTTAAAAAATCAGAGAAAATGTCATTCAGGAAAGACACAGGATTTCATTTGAGCTAAAGGATAGGGAGAGGCCAAGAATAGGGATGATAAAAGAAAAGTATAAGGAAATAGTACAGGAACATGTATGGCAATATTTAATATAAGTAAAAGAAACAAGTGAAGATGAACTTTTTAGTCAATGATAGCCAGTTGTTTTTTCTTTTTTTAAGTGGAATTCAAGTATTATGTACCAGGATAAACTCCAAATGGGTCTGAGGCTTAAATATTTAAAAGTTAAACAATATAATGTCTAGAGGAAAAGATGGATGAATTTCTTTTTTTCTAACATCATGGGACAGCATCTTTATCTGAAAAGTCCAGGAGCCATAAAATAAAAAATTCATAGGACTATATAAATTTTTAAAACTTCTTCATGGTCAAATAAACCCCATAAGCAAGGTCAAAACACAAAATGGCAAACTTGGAAAAAGGATTTGCCACTCATATTACAGACTAAGAACTGATCTCCCTACTGTGTATTGATTTCCTAGAAAAGATAAACAATTCAGTAGAAAAATGGATAGAGCCCAGGATGGTTACAGAAAAAAGAAAAACAAATGCTTTTTGTTAGATGTCCTCAATTTGTAATGACCCCCTTGGACAGACTAGAACTGCTCCATAGAGTTTTCTAGGCTATTAGCTTTATGGAAGCAGGTCACCAGATCTTTCTCCCACAGAGCCACTGAGTGAGTTTGAACCACCAACCTTTCGATTAGCAGCCAGTTAGCAGCCAGATGCTTAACCATTCTGCCACCAGGGCTTCTGAAATATATAAAAAGATGTTCAATCTGTAAGGAGCCAAAAGCAAATTAAAAGGACACTATTACATGATTTGGCAGGAGCTCTGGTGGCATAGTGCCTAAGGCATGTGACTACTAACCAGAAAGCTGGAGGTTCAAACCCCCCAGCCACTTCTCGGAAGGAAGGTTGGGCAATCTACTTCTGTAGTGATACCACCTCAGAAACCCAAAGAGGGGTTGCTATGAGTTGGATCCGACTCCATGCTAGTGAGTTTGGTTTGGATTTTTTGGTATACGATTTGGCTAGACTCGAAAAGTAAATGGCACAACCAGTCTTAAAGGGAATCTGGCAATTATCTATTAAGATTACAGGTGCATTTACCCTTTGACTTAATAGTATTACTCTTAGGAATCCTTCCTATCGACACTCTTGTATTAACATGAAATGACATACATACAGGTTATTTATTTATTTATTTAGCCATGTTGTTTATTTAGTACAGTTCTACTCTGGCACACATGGGGTCGCCCTGAATCCAAATTGATTCAACGGAAATTGGTTAGAGTTTTTTTTTTTGTTTGTTTATTTAATAGCAAAAGATTGAAAACAACCCAGTAGTGGGAGATTGGTTAAATAAATCCTGAATCCACCAAATTGAATACTATGCAGTGAAGTGTAAAAAGAATAATGAGGAACTTCTCTCTATCCTGTTAGGGAAAAAAAGCAAGGTGCAGAACAGTATATGGCAAACTTTTGTAAAAGAAAGAGAAAAAGTAATTCTTATACTTGTTTGTCAATATTTGCAAAATGAAACACTGGAAGGTAAATTTTTTAAAAATGGTTGCCTACTGTGGTCAGAGAAATGCAGGATATATTAGGGTGATATTTTTTTAATATATATTTTTAATATTACTTTGATTTTTTTGAACCCTGTCATTAATGGTTCAGTAATAAAGTTCTTTGTAGTGATACTGCCTCAGAAACCCAAGGAGGGGTCGCTATGAGTCGGGGCTGACTTGACAGCACATAACAACAAAACAATAAAGTTCTTGCCTTCAGTGCAGGAGACCTGGGTTCAATTTCTGGCCAATGTACCTCATGCGCAGTAGGCGTTTGCATGTTGTTGAGCAGGTTTCAGTGGAACTTCCAGACTAAGTTAGACTAATAAGAAAGACCTGGCAATCTACTTCTGAAAATCAGGCAGTGAAAACCATGTCAGTCACAGCAATCTAATCCACAACTGGTCATGGACATGGCTCAGGACCAGGGAGTGTTTCACTCCCTTGTCCACAGGGTCACCCTGAGTAGGAGCGGACTCAATGACAGCTAACAACAACCCATTAATTTTTTTTAAATCATAGAAAAAACAGTACACAAATAAGATACATACGTCCTTTTAAGTTAAAAAAAATCACAAGTCTACATTTTAAAATTGATTTGTGACAAATGGTTATCGAGACGTTAATTATAGATGAGTATAACTACTAATATTTAACACTTCCCCTAAAACCAAACAAACTCATTGCCATCAGTCTATTCTGACTCATAGTGATCCCCTTTGGGTTTCTGAGGTGGTAAATCTTTACAGAAGTAGATTGTCCAGTCTTCCTTTAGTGGAGTGGCTGGTGGGTTTGAACCACCAACCTTTTGGTTAGCAGTCAAATGCCTTAAGCACTACACCACCAGACACCTTTTTACACTTTCTTGTGGTGATGTAATGCCTAAGGCATTTGACTGCTAACTAGAAAGTTGGCGGTTCAAACCCACCAGCACTCCATGGAAGGAAGACTGGGCAATCTACTTCCGTAAAGATTTACCACCTTGGAAACCTAAAGCAGGTTGCTGTGAGTTGAAATTGACTCTGTGGCAGTGAGATTGGTTTGGTTTTCTAGTCAACAATAAATTTCACACCAAAGGACAAGGGTATTTTGTATACTTTTAAGGTTTTCTTGTTCCGTCTATGAAAAACCACCTGAAAACTGGTGTATACTTTCAGTAGGTGGCAGTCTTTCCTTTGTTACACACTAAAGATTCCATTCCTGACAATATTTGATTATCATCATTTCTCTTTGTGAATATATTCAATTGAATTCCAAAAAATTTTACCTGATATAAGTTTAAAGCAAGCAATGGAATCATTGATTCAGTGTCATCTTTAGTTAAAGATGAACTATTAATTTTTAAAAATCATTAGCTAGCTTGCATAAGGTAATTTTCTCTGCTTGTAGTGAGGGGCATGTAGCAGATACATTGCCACAGAGACATGTTATTTTTAAAACCACCAAAAGGAAAAACCCACCAATATACCTAAGAGTCATAAATACTGGCTGGCATGCCTTCATTTTAAATAATGTAATCAAAGATTGAAATAAATCACATCTTGCTATAATTTCTCAACTATGTGAATTTTGATGAGAGCAAATGTCAGCACTTTTTTCATAGAACTGGTTCTTTGACTGTTGATAATGTTACATTTGTCCATCAGAGCCTGTTCATAGCAGTGCTGAGCCCTGGGTACAAACCAAGCAATTTTACCAAGTTTCTAAAACCTGAGGAAACATATTAGTTCAGCAAGGGGCTTTAAGAGGTAGGTCACTTGGTAAAATTCAGGTTAGATTTCAGGAAACAGGTTAGATTTCAGGAAAATCTAACCTGTTTTAGAGAGATGGATTTCTGCCCTAATCATGGAGATTGTTAGCCTACGCCTAGCAACTTACTCTGTTGTCTTCCCATACTTATTCCAGCCAGAAGTTCTTCCTTAATGTCTACTTTAAATCTCTCTGTTATATATTCCCTCCTGATCTACTTTTAGTAGAACTGGGAAACAGCAGTACAGATGATTTTTTAAAACACTCAAACAGCAGCTTCTGGAGAAAGCATACTTTGAAACTAGAGGAGTGATTGACTCAGCTTTCATGATTTTTTAAATTTAATAATTCATTTTTATAGTCTCTCATTTCTAAATAAAATAAAATTTATTTGTCCAAAATAAATGTTTTATAATGTTTTAAATTAAGAAACATAACACTAACTAATTATTCTCAAGGTCACAGTGAGTTGGCATATTTATGGCAGAACCAGAAAAAAACCCACACTGCTTTCATGTTCAAGTGAAAAACACTTTTACTGCATCATTAAACTGCATGTTATTTCTAAGTACCATATGAGACCAGATCTTGAAATGGTGTAGGAAAATTTTACATTAGATGGGGACAGGATAAATTAGAAAAATTCTACTGTCTAATTTTGCTACTTTAATACAAACAAAGTATGTTGTTAGGTGCCGTCATGTTGGCTCTGACTCATAGCGACCCTGTGTACAACAGAACGAGACACAGTCCAGTCCTGTGCCTGCCTCACAATCCTTGCTACATCTGAGCCCACTGTTGCACCGTGTCATTCCATCTCATTGAGGACCTTCCCCTTTTTCATTAACCCTCCACTTTACCAAGCGTAACATCCTTCTCCATGGAATGGTCTGTTCTGACAACATGACCAAAGTAGGTCAGAAGAAATCCGGTCATTCTCGCTTCGAAGGAGCATTCTGGCTGCACTTCTTCCAGAACAGATTTGTTAGTTCTTTTAGCAGTCCACAGTACTTTCAGCATTCTTTGCCAGCACCACGACTCAAAAGTATCAACTCTTCTTTGGTCTTCCTTGTTCAGTGTCCAGCTTTCACATGCATATGAGGCAATTGAAAAGACCATGGCTTGGGTTAGGTGCACCTTAGTCTTCAAGGAGACATCTTTGCTCTTCAGCACTTGAAAGAGGTCTTTTGCAGCAGATTTTCCCAGTGCAATATATCATCTGATGTCTTGACTGCTGCTTCCATTGGTGTTGATTGTGGAACCAAGTACTATGAAATCTTTAACAACTTCAATCTTTTCTCCATTTATTGTGATGTTGCTTATTGGTCCAGTTGTGAGGATTTTGGTTTTCTTTATGTTCAGATGTGATCCATACTGCAGACTGTAGACTTTAATCATCAATAAGTGCTTCAAGTCATCCTCACTTTTAGCAAGCAAAGTTGTGTCATCTACATATCACAGGTTGTTAATGAGTCTTCCTCCAATCTTGATGCCATGTTCTTCATATAGTCCAGCTTCTAAGATTATTTTTCAGCATACAGATTGAATAAGTATGGTGAAAGGATACAACCCTGACATACTCCCTTCCTGATTTTAAACCATGCAATCCATATTCAAACAACAGCCTCTTGGTCTGGGTACAGGTTCCTGATGAGCACAATCAAGTGTTCTGGAATTCCCATTCTTCTCAATGTTATCTGTAATTTGTTGTGATCCACACAATTGAATGTTTTTGCACTGTCAATAAAATACAAGTAAACATCTTTCTGATATTCTTTGCTTTCAGCCAAGATCCATCTGCAATGATATCCCTCATTCCACGTCCTCTTCTGAACCCAGCTTGCAGTTCTGTTCTCTGTAAATATACTGCTGCAACCATTTTTGAATTATCTTCAGCAAGATTTTACTTGCATGTGATGTTAATGATATTGCTCAATAATTTCTACATTCTGTGGGATCACCTTTCTTTGGAGTGGGTACAAATATGGATCTTTTCCTGTCAGTTCTCCAGGTAGCCTGTCTTCCAATTTCTTGGCATAGACAAGTGAATGCCTCCAGTGGGGGATTTGTTTGTTGAAAATCTCAGTGGGTATTCCATCAATTCCTGGAGCCTTGTTTTTTGCCAACTCCTTCAGTACCATTGGTTCTTGGTCATATGCCCCCTCCTGAAATGGATGAATATCAACCAATTCTTTTTGGTACAATGACTTCTTCTTCTTTTAAAACAATTTTTATTGTGATTTGGGTGAAAGTTTACAGAGCAAATTCATTTTCCATACAGCAGTTCACACATACTTTGTCTCATGACATTGATGGCAATTTCCCACAATGCAACAGCTCTCCTCCCACTTCCTCCCCATAGTTACCTCTTTCCTGTGTCCTTCCTTCTTATGCATTCCTGACCCCCAAGCTGTCTTCCTGTGCATACACAGCCCTTCTATTCTTCTCCGTGTTCTTTTGATGTTTTGTGCATCATTCAATATTTTGCCCGTAGAATCTTTCAGTATTGCAACTTGAGGTTTGAATTTTTCTTCATTTCTTTCAGCTTCAGAAATGCCGAGTGTGTTCTTCCCTTTTGGTTTTCTAACTCCAGGTCTATGCACATATCATTATAATAATTGTCTTCTCAAGCTGCTCTTTGACATCTTCTGTTCAGCTCTTTTATCTTGTCATTTCTTCCATTTACTTTAGCTACTCTCCATTCAGCAGCAAGTATCAGAGTCTCTTTTGACATCCATTTTGGTCTTTTCTTCCTTTCCTGTCTTTTGAATGACCTTTTGCTTTCTTCACAGATGATGTTCTTGATGTCATCCCACAATTCCTCTGGTTTTTGGTCATTGGTGTTCAGTGCATCAAATCTATTCTTTAGATGGTCTCCAAATTCAGGAAGGATATAGTTAAGGTCATATTTTGACTCTTGTAGACTTGTTTTAATTGTCTTCAGCTTCAGCCTGAACTTGCATATGAGCAGTTGATGGTCTGTTCCACAGTCAACTCCTGGCCTTGTTTTGGCTGAAGATACTGAGTTTCTCTATCACCTCTTGCTAGAGATGTAATTGGTCTGATTGCTGTGTATTCCATCTGGTGAAGTCCACACGTGTAGGTGTCATTTGTGTTGTTGAAAAAATGTATTTGCAATGAATAAGTCATTGGTCTTGCAAAATTCTATCATGTGATCTCCAGTGTTATTTCTATCACCAAGGCCATATTTTCCAACTACTGGTGATTCTTCTTTGTTTCCAACTTTTGCATTCCAATCACCAGTGATAATCAACACATCTTGATTGCATGTTTGGTCAATATCAGACTGCAGAAGTTGATAAACAGTCTTCAGTTTCCTTGTGTTCGGTTTTGGTGGTTGGTGTGTAAATTTGAATAGTAGGATTAAGTGACCTTCCTTGTAGGCGTATGGATATTATCCTATCACTGAGAGCATTGTACTTTAGGATAGATCTTGAAACATTCTTTGTCATGATGAATGCTATGCCATTCCTCTTCAATTTGTCATTCCCAGCATAGTAGATCACATGGTTGTCTGATTCAAAATGACCCAAACCAGTCCATTTCAGCTCACTAATGCCCAGGATATTGATCTTTATGTGTTCAGTTTCATTTTTGACAACTTCCGATTTTCCTAGATTCATACTTTGTACATTCCATGTTCTGATTATTAATGGATGTTTACAGCTGTTTCTCCCCATTTTGAGTCGTGCCACATCAGCAAATGGAGATCCCAAAAGCTTTACTCCATCCATATCATTAAGGTCAGCTCTACTCTAGGGAGGCAGCTCTTTTCCAGTTGCATTTTGAGAGCCCTCCTACTTTAGGGGCTCATTTTTTTGGCACTATATCGGACAGTGTTTCAGGGCTATTCATAGTTTTCCAGTAATATATCAGACAGTGTTTCACTGCTATTCATAAGGTTTTCACTGGCCAGTTCTTTGAGAAGTAGATGGCCCCTTCCTTCTTCTGAGTCTGTCTTAGTCTGGAAGCTCTGCTGAAACCTGTCCACCATGGGTGACCCTGCTGGTGTTTGAAATACTGATGGCATAGCCTCCAACCTCACAGCAACACACAAGCCACCACAGTATGACAAACTGACAGATGAGTGGAGGTATACATTATACAAAGTATACATTAGCAAATACTGATAATTGGAATGTTACTTTAAGAAGGAGTCATAATGAATTTGTCATTAACAAAACATGCTGAAGGGAAGCTGCTGAACTGAAATAATTTTTCTTAAGTAGGTTAAATGTTCTTCTTATAATCTTATTTACAAAAGACATTTAATTTTCTCATCGTTCCCTTTCTTTATAATACAAAGATCAACCTCCAATTTGTGATGAAATTGGTATTAATTTCAAGTTATTACTGAATAAATAGGGTATGATTGAACTGTCATTTTAAATGCTTTTGTTGACTTTGTTTCTCTTATAGAGAAGAAAACTACATCTCAGCCCTGAACATTGTAGTAACTTTTATGTGGAACAGTATGGGAAAATGTTTTTCCCCAATTTAACAGCTTACATGAGTTCTGGACCACTTGTTGCCATGATATTAGCTAGACATAAAGCCATCTCTTACTGGAAAGAACTTTTGGGACCAAGTAATAGCTTAATAGCTAAGGAAACACATCCAGACAGGTAATTTTCCTAGGGGGAAAAATACAGAATCTATATGGGAAAATGAAGAAATAAAATTCTGATTTTATTATAATGGGAACTTTCTTTCATTTGGAAGTTTCAGTTTTGTTTTGTTTTTGTTTTTTTAAGGGGGGATTCATTTTAGATTTTAACCATCTTCTTTTTCATTTTTGCAGTTTTTTAATGAAAGTCGTATATAAGATTATTTTACTCCTGCATGTTCTCAATTGTTTCTTCCTTGTATTTACCCTTTTACTTTCCTACTTGATGAGATTTGGCTTCATATTCAAGGATCTTTTTGTGGTCTTTGTCCAGTTTAGCTCCGTGATAACTACCTTGCTGGGGTGAATGCCCATATGGATAATTGTGCCATTAGCTGTATCTTGCTGTATCTGTTCAGTGTAGATGACATATTTCTTCCTGTAAACCTGGACTACTTTGCCGACATGCTGACCTTTGCAGTGTCTTTGCACAACCTGAACTTCATCATCCTTTTGAATGGGCGTGGACTGAACATTGTATTTCTGTCTCAGTTCCTTGGAAAGAGGGGAAGACATCCACCCTAAATGTGGGAAGGTATATCAAAGTGCCTTTTACGGTTTTGTTCTGGTGAGAAGTCACAAAGGAAATGAACTTCATTATGACTGCTGCTGCTTCAGCGATGGACATAAAAGGGAAAAGAACACATTTTAACCATTTAATCATAATATCACAAAAGACCTCAGGGGATGTCTGATAGATGATGAATTATCCTTACTCTTCTCTCATTCTGTTCCAGATTTTTCATGGAAAAATTGGTGTAGTACTTTAAAGGAATATTGGTAATATTGGACCAGAAATAAAAAATTTCAGCCTTATTGCTAATGTCTGGAAACATGAGGCCACTGAGTTCTTGCATTTTTGAATAGGCATTTCTTTTTCACTTCTCCTGAAATAATACTTCTTTTTCACCTAAAGAACCCCTATTTTCCAAGTGTATCTCTCCTGCAGTTTAGGTATATTTGACCCTCATCCAGATAGGATTAAGCTTAACTTGAAAATAAATTAAAGCCTCCATATGTGAGAAGTGACAGTGCTTTGATAAAATTCCTAAAGAGAATTCATATGTAAAAAATGAGGAAAGGATGTCCGATTGAAAGGTCATCATCTCTAACTTGCTTTTTAGTCTAAGAGCAATTTATGGCACAGATGATCTAAGGAATGCGCTTCATGGGAGTAATGACTTTGCTGCAGCAGAAAGAGAAATTCGATTCATGTTTCCTGAAGGTGAGTTATATATGACTAATTTGGCAATTCCATCTGCTTGTTATTTGCTTTTTCTTTTATTTTGGGGATGTAGGTAGAAAGAGAGATAACAGGATTTTTCTCCAATTCATTTTATCAGATTCAAATCGTAGTTAAAAACTAAACTTGAAACCAAGAATGAAGAACTTAACATTTCCCTCAGAACCAAGTTGTGCCCTCTAGGGAATCTCCTAAGAAGAGTTTACTTTTTTGTTTTTCCTATACTTTTGTTGTTGTTTTTGTTATGTGCTGTCGAGCTGGACCTGACTCATAGCGACCCCTCCTTGGGTTTCTGAGGCAGTATCACTACAGAAGTAGATTGCCCCATCTTTCTTCCCAGGAGTGGCTGGTGGGTTTGAACCTCCAGCCTTCTGGATAGCAGTCAAGTGCTTTAGGCACTATGCTACCAGAACTCCTTCTATACTCTTAGACTAGACATATTTCGCATCTAAGTTTCTCTTCCCTTTTTGTGTTATTCCTTCTGTTGTTGTTTTTATTATGTGCTGTCGAGTCGGCCCCAACTCATAGCAACCCCTCCTTGGGTTTCCGAGGCAGTATCACTACGGAAGTAGGATTGCCCAACCTTCCTTCCGAGGAGTGGCTGGTGGGTTTGAACCACCAGCCTTCTGGTTAGCAGTCAAGTGCTTTAGCCACTATGCTACCAGAGCTCTTATTCCTTCTAGTTATCCCTTATGATTTAGTAAAGTCCATTACACATGAAAAAAAAATCTCTCTTAAAAATTTTGATTGATTTGCCATTTTCTCTAACAATTTACTGTTTGCCTAACAAAGTGTCATGCAGTTGTGAAATTACTAGCTCTCAGGTCCTTTTCTTGTTTCCATCCTGTTAAGGAAGTGATAAACCTTTCAGAAGTAGAGTAGACTTACCTAGGACAGCAATAACCAACTGACGTTTCTTGTTTGTGTTCAGTAGTTTCAGGACAAAAGAAACTGATGATTTTCATTATAAAAAAGAAAATGTAAAGCATTGAGCAGTGTTGAAAAAATTTTTTTGGCGTGTTATTTTTCTCTTAAGTCATTGAGTGCAGTTCCTCTGTATTCGTATTAAAGATTCGTTAAAAATTTTAAAAAACAACAAAAAGAAACCCTGTCTTGAAGATTGTAAAAGTCCCTAAGTCTTAAATAAACAAAAAACCCAAAACAACTGTTTTATAGATATTTGTGCACAAAAGGATATTTCCACTTATATATTATAGTCTAATTTATCAGATTTAATTTGTCACATATTCATTTCATTACAGTATCTTTTTCTTTGTAACTATTTTTGTAGAAGATTTGAAATATACATAAAAATAAACAGAATAATGTAATAAGCCTCTAGGGAACCCATCATCCAACCTTAGCAATGGTGGTCAGTCTTGTTTCATCTATATACCTCTCTCCTCCAGCTCCTACTTTAACTGCTCCCATATTATTTTGTTGAGGCATTTGCTTGTTCCTGTGTTCATTTGGAGATATTCCATATACTCTAGAGTCGGGTTGGCTGTAATCTTTATGGAAGCTGGTTGCCAGGCCTGGCTCTTCTGTGGTACTGCTGGGTGGGTTCAAACAGGCAACCTTTGGGTTATTAGCCAAGTGTAGACTGTCTGTGCCACCATGGACCTTTCCCATATTATTCTGAAGCACAGTTCAACAAGAGCTGTCTTTGGAATCTGGTAGCACTATAGGTTTAGTCCTATTAGTGAATTGGATTTATCCTTAAAACAGAATGAAGACTCGCTTTACCTTAAATGGAAAGTATGTTTTGAAGGTCTTTTTACTCATAGGGTTATATTCCTAAACTGTTATTTTAGATATTTTTTCCCCATTAATTAATCCTCTAGATGTGAATTTAAATATGTACTTAGATATTTAGGAGACAGCAAGTTGTGGGATAAGTATAAACTCTTAGTTACCTCCCACGTTGCAGATCTTTTGCTATGGGAATATGAACTTTTTGGAGCATAGCCTCAGAGTTTGTGGTGAAAGCTTCTTGCTTGATGAGCCACTAAGGCAAGTTATAAAGATATTAAAAAACATGTTCCTAACCCTTGAAAAAGGTAACTCTCTCCTCTTTCTCTTTTAATGTTGTTGTTAGTTGCCCCCAGTCGGTTCTGACTCATGGCAACCCCATGTATATGCAAAGTAGATCTGCTCATAGAGTTTTCAAGACTTTTAACTTTTGGAAGCCAATCTCCAGGCCTGTCTTCTGAGGCACCTCTGGCTGGGTTTGAACCACCAACCTTTTAGTTATTGTGCCACCCAGGGAGCTCTCTCTTTTAATGGGAATGACTAATTCAAAGTTTTGCTGTGTTCTATTCATTCAGCAGATGTATTGAGTTACCTACTATGTGTCAGAAATACAAAGATGAGTAAGATGTCTCTGTTCTCAAGATGCTTATCTTTTAAAAATGTATAAAAATAAGTGTACAATGCAAGCTGTAAAACTGTGTCATTTAAAAAATGAAATGGAAGTTCATTTGCTTAAGAAAGGAAACATGGAAACAGTTTTTATTTTTTCCTCATTAATTCATCTAACCCCAGAAGAATAAAAAAATGGTCTGCAAAAATAGGTGAGGTCCCATAACAAGTGAAGAGACTGAATTAGTAATTAGAAACCTATGAAAAAAGAAAAGTCTTGTACCAGATAATTTCACTGGGGAATTCTGCAAAACTCTGACAGATTTCACCCGTGATCTGAAAGTAGAGCATTCCTACGAATCCTTCCTTAAGCCTGAAATGGCATAAAGTGAAGTCATTACCATTAATTTGTATGGGAAACATATTTTGAGTATTCCCAGACCCAAAAAATAACCTACCAAGTCATACCAAATAACACCTAAAATCTAGAATAACAGTAAGATACAATGTTCACAGATACAGTTCAAAACTGTGGTGGCTTGAAGCTGAGATACTGCGTGTAGTTCCCAGGGAAGGAACTTGGCGATGACACACTTGGGTGCACACTGTCTCTTTAGCGCCTCACTGCAAAACAAACGCTGAACACGAGTTTTGCTTTTTGCCTTTTATTGTAAATGTGAAAATCCTCTTTAGATTTCTGGATTTCTAAAATCAGGTTAGTAAAAACAGGTGCTAATGTAGGTCTTTCCTAAAAGGTCTTTCGTAAAAGTAAATGGTGTAAAGCAGACTTTTAAAAAGCAGGGAATACCTGTATAGATGAAGCAACCTCAGTCCTTCTTAAACTTTTCCAAAAAACACAAGAGAACAGAACACTTCCTATCTCAATCTGTGAGGCTAACATTATCCTGAAACCAAAGCCAAAGATACCACAAGAAAAGAATATTACAGACCAATATC